CCAGATACTCACCCAGAACTGGAGTTCAGAGCAGTCAGGAGCTTGTGACTCCCTCCTGATTGAAAAAGACAACCGCATCCTCAGTTGCCAGCCCTTTCCGGGTGCGCCTCCATACCTCTGCACTTTACTTCCACACCTCCTCTGAGACTCAGTGTGCTTTTCTCTTTCCTCCTAGTTGTAGACTTTCCACTCAGCCAGCCTCCCTGTGGTTCTGGATGATGTCCGTTTTGTCTTTTAGTTGTATTTTTAAAGTGGTTGTGGGAGGCAGCAATTTCAGGTGTTTACCTATGCCGCCATCTTGGTTTCTCCAGGACCATGTCTTCTAAATTTCTTAACTCACTTTATCTCATCTCGCCTAAGATGCCTTTAAACTTCAGATGGTCCTAAAAACCAGAAGAATTTCCTACAAACCCCTCCGAGAGGAAGAAACGGGATGCTAACCCCTTGGTCATCGTCCCTTCTCAGCAGGAAGCAGCTAAGAGTGGTTGTCATCCCTGTTCATTCTAACAACCTGTAGTCATTGTACTACAAGGCTAAGAAAAGCTTGTGGGACAACAGGGGGGAATGAAAAGGCTAAAAAGCTAATTCCAATGTAACCCTAATGTTTGGGGGGCTAGCAATCTGAATCTGTACCCTAAACCTGTGTACATTCTTCATAACCTATAATTAAGTCACTGCCTCTTCCCCACAATCTGGTCTTGCAAGACCTGTTACCTAAATGCTCACATTTTACAGAGGCCATAAACCATGAACAATACACAACCCCTGGAGGGGGTTATCAGCGGTGGCGCCAGGCCAGGCCCATAGATACAATCTCAAGACCCCCATCCCAAACCCACGGGGCTTTTTGCGAAGCCCACGAAAGTTCTGGAAGTCCCTGTCCATATTTGGGGACAAAGAAACCAAAAGGGGATAAAAGAAGGGCTTCCACCATGTTGGTTTGCACAGACTTTGGGGGCAACTCCTCTGAGACTGGTGGTGTAATAAAGCTGTGTAACTCCATTTCTCTAAGTGTCACTTGGGTTTTTTTGGTCTTCTACAACAATATGACAAAAATAATACACTTGTGCACCATACATGTCAAGAAACGGCACATTATCAGTACTCCAGAAGCCATTCCCACTATTAAAAATGGACACAGAATTTGTCCTGATCACGTATAGTAACACAGCTGACATGGAAATGGTTGTCACATGGAAGAATTTATATTCAGAGATCCCTAGAAATCAGAAGCATTCAACACCACACCGCATGGGACCTGGGAAGCACCCAGTCTGCCAGGAGGCATGCAGGGGTGAAGGCAAAGCCTTCTAGAATTCTTGCAAGAAGGAATGGAAAAGGCAGGCTAGGTACACTAGGTTTAAATTAGACAGTTTAAATAATTGGGGGCTGTGAGCTGGCTACAAAAGAAGTCTCTAGTGGTGTGGGGATAGTTTAGAGTAGGGGGACTATTGGCTTGGCCTGTAACAGTTGGATAAAGGAGCTATTTGAGAGTGTGGTCACTGAATTTATATCAAAGGTACACTCACAGGGGCATCAAGGGGCCATTTGCTATCTCTAGGAATTAGCACTGGAAGAAGCACTCTCTCCAGGATCAAGGCCCCGACTATCAGAACATGGAGAACACAGAAAATAAGAAAAACAGTCAGTACAATCCCCCTTGCTCTCCAAAGAGAACTCTCCCCTGACTTCAAACCCTAGCAGTTAGTTTTGCCTATTGTTTAACTTTCTATAACCAAACCACACAGCTTTCTGTGTCTGTTCTTTCAGTCAACAGTGCAGCTGTGAGATGCAGCCGTGTTGCTGTGCATTGCTGTAGTTTGCTCATTTTTATTACTGTATATTATTCTGTTGTATTTATTAGTCTGTTCTTCTACTTATAGGCATTTATGTGCTTCCGAATGCAGGTCTAATACAAAGCATGTTGCTATGAACATTCTTGTACATGTCTGCAGGTGCATGTGCTCACACACATTTCACTCTGGGGGAGATTCCTGGATGGGAGTTCGGGTAAGCATGTGCTCATTTGGTAGATATACCAACACCGAACCTTCCTGAGTGTGTAAGAATCTCTGAGCTTTGATTGTGGCCATTTATATTTTAAATTCACAAGAACACTCCAATGTTATTTGACAGAACAGTTACTTTGCCTCCACACTAGAGAGTAAATGTATTGCTTGATTGATATATAATGATCAATTTTGTCTGAACCTTATATGCAGTATACACATTGACTTAGAAAATTGCTTTGTTTTCTATTTAACCCAGATTGCTAACTCCAGGCAAGCACAAATACAACATGGCAGGAGAAAAATTAAATTCAGAAAACTTTTTTCTTCAATTAATGTGTCTCAGACTTTAATTTATCAACTTCTCAGAGCAGCTCTCTTTTCTGTCTTTCTCACGTTGACCTCTTTGAAGAAGCCGTGAGTGGTGATCTGGTTCTCTGAGTGTTGGGGTCCAACCCCAGCAGGTCCAGGGGTTCCCAAAAGTGTGGATGGAGTCGGTGAAGAAGGAATGACATGGAGACAGTGTTCAGTTGATCAGCAGCTTAGCCAGGTTCTCTAGTCAGGTTCTCCAGCCAGGTTCTCTCGCCAGGTTCTGTTCTTATTGTCCTGTTACATCTGTATTTATACCAGTTGATTTTAATCCTATCCATTCTATTCCAAAAGTTAGGGCGTTTGTTAATCTAGTTCTGTTGAGTTTAATCCTGTCTAGGTTAATCTCTGTGTTCCATTATAAGAGCTATTCCAAGATCACTGCTCTACTGATAAACTACAAGGAAGTGACTGAAGGAGATTATCCTACCCAGTAAAGGCTATGTCCTCCCAGCCTCGCTGCTTGCCTTCCCTGGGACTGCCCTGTGGCAGTGAGTCTCCAGGGGTATTAAGCTTTGGTGCTTTCCCTGGTGGGCAGATCCCTGGGGATGTGGGCCCAACAGGTCCCAAATTTATTGCCAACAGTCTTAGTCCACGTTCTTCATAAGTAGTACATGGTATTTCTGTAACACTAGGGGGTTTCACTGATTTATTCTCTTCCTTAGTCCTGTTAATCCCTAACTCCAGGGAAAAAATCCTCACCTGGGGAAACAACCTTTCTCAGGGAGGTGGTCTTGTTTAAAACACATAGCACTAAGAGTGGGAGCAAACATATTAAGAACAGTATGCCATATATGCCAGGTCCCTTGAAACATATGCTGTGCAGATGTTTCTTCCCTGCAGCGACTGTGTCAAGCAGCAAGGATGGACCAGCTTCTGAAATCTGAGAAATGGTGGAGAGATTACCAAATTTGATCAAACCACTTGAATTTAGCATTTAGTGGCTTTCAATAAGTGTTGGTTTCTTTATTTAATAAACTGTAAATCAGTCTAGAATCTTCATTATTAAACTCATCCTGATTAAAAGAAAATTTATGGAGTGTATTTTTATCCCTCATTATTGGACCATCTTTGACCCTTTTCATATTAAACAAGTTCCCAGAGGAAAAAAAATCAAAAAATCTACAATCCCTTTCACACTATATTATACACACACACACACACACACAGAATGGGACTTTTTCTTTGCTGCTGTTTCATGTTGAGATTTGTAAGAAAACAGGGGGCAAATTTCATGAATGCAGAATTATTTCAGACCCTCAACAGCTATAAATTTTGGTGAAGTTACATTCCCAGACATTTAAAGTGGGAAACTAACGAACAATCTACAGAAATAGTGGTGTAGCCATCACTGAGAAGAATATGGAGTAAATTCATTTTGGTTTCTAAAGATAGTGACATCAAAGTTGTTTGGAACTGGGGACCCTGATGAAGAACATACCTACCAAGAAGGACTCCTGCTGGCTAAATAGACTCAAATTTATAAGACAGTCCCTTGTAGCCATTGCTATGGGATGAGGGGAGGGGAGGGGGGCTCACCAGGAGGGCACTTCAAGGAGAAGACTGCACTGAACTGCCTGCCTGGACTGTGTTCCTGCATCTGAGCCAGCCCTTAGGAGTCCCGAGAATATATTTCAATCTTTAAGACTGAGGTTTTCCCCATTCAATTGGAACTGTGCACTTCTATCCTTATCAGCATTTTCACTAACCAATCAGAGCAGCTCCATTCTGACCAATCAGGACAGTGCTTTTTGGAGCAATCAAACTTTGAGGACTTGGAGTCTTCCTTTGCATGAGGATGGACCAATCAGAGACCAGGAGTGGGGACTTCTCTCTAAGCCAGCTTCCTTCTGGCTCTGGGAGCACACTTTCTCTTTCCACTCAAGATTGTTTCCTGGAGAAACAGGAAGAGGGAGATGGGAATGGAGCAGGTGGAGCAGACCAGAGCAGAGCAGAGCTGGCTAGCCAGACAGGGCCACCTTGCCACCTGCTGCTTCATGGTAGTAACTGAGCTATATCACAATAGAACTGTTTGCACTGAATAACGTTTCCTTCTTCACTGCACCCTAAATTGGGGATTCCTGGTGGCATTGCACTGGCACCATTGACCATCAGCTGACAGCACTGTTTTACCTTATACTGGAGGTTGCTCCCCACCCCACAAAACAAACACAAATACACAGGAAAAGAAAACCATTTTGGAGTATATAGATGAGATTCAGAGGGGCTGCTTTGCCCTGTAAGAGGTGATACATTATGTCATCACAGTGATTCACACTTAGGCAAGACCTAGGCCATCAGGTCCTTGACAGACCTCTGAGTTTGCCTCAACTCAAAAAGTTGCTCATCTCCTGAGTAATCCCCTGTCATCTAGGATTCTACTGCCAGTGCCCAGACTCCTGCTGTGCCTGCCCTGCTGCCCCACCCTGCTCAATCTGCAGCTCTGCCACAGCACCCCACCCCCCAGCACCACCCTTCTCTCTACCCCACCCCACCCCACCCCATTCCTCCTCCTGCAGGTCAATAGCTGCACCCACCTCAGGGACCTGTTTGTACTGCAGGCATCATCAGATCCGGAGCCCCTCCCAGGCTGCACCCAACTCAGGGACTATATAAGGGCGGTGCTAGTGGCTGTGGACACCTTCAGATCCACAGCCCCTCACAGGAGCAGCCAGCAAAGGGTGAGATCTGGGCACCAGGCCCATTAGGGAAGTGGGACTAAACCAGTGGGGCTGCCCAGGGCTGGAATCTGCCAGCTGCCTACTCCTGGCTCTGCCCTGGCCTTCAGTGGCCTGGGTACCAGCAGCCCCTGACCTCTCCCTGGGATGGCTGCCTGCACCTCTAGGATTGCTGCCTACACTGCTCATCTGAGCGGGAGCAACACTGGAAAAACCCTTCCACCAACCCTCTAATGGGCCAGGGCTCGAGGGCCAGCTGGCCTGTGATGGACTGGGCTCGTCCTTTGGTCTGAAGCCAGAACCAAGCCTGAGATCATAATATTTTTATTCCTTTCTCAACTCCCTGCCTCCCTGAGCAGTTTGTGACAGTTTTTAGGCAGTCCAGGAGTATAGCATTTCATTGCTGAAGAGGAAAGAAGGAAGTAGGGAGGGAAGGCCAATGTGATTCTAGAGGTTAATTTCCAGTAACAACAGTGATAGTCTAATGTATTACTTACAGGGAAGCAGCTAGCACCACTATTATTCTTCCTTGCCCATCTCTGTGGAAACAAGCTCTGAGAGGAGTCAGGATTGGTAAGTGGGCTTCTGAGCTGAGGTGGAAGGCCAGTCACCTGCACCTGAGGGGTGGGTGTCAGAGAGGAAGCTTCTCCCCTGCTCCTGGTGGGCTGCACCGCGACCCTAAGGCCTGTGCTGGGTTTTCCAACTCTCACATCCTATAGCAGCCTTGAGACTTGGGACACTTCACCTCCCTAAACGTTAGCAACTGAATTGAAAATGAGGAAAATCTACCACTTTGCTGAAATTTGCTTTAATGCAGAGTAGGTAGCTATGATTTTCTAAGAGAAAATTATCATTTCAGGTAAAGGGTGGGAAATGTGTGTGCTCCCCAGCTGAGTAGGAAAGGCCCAGTGCTGGCTGCTGAGTCTGCAAGTCAGAGCCCTCTCCACTCCCTGGGTCCTGGCCCTGGGTCGCTGATGGATCCTTGTCCAGTTCCCACCTGTGTGCCCATGAGACAGTGCTCTTGTCCTCCTGAGAAAAGAAAAGGAAGTACAAGTTTCCGGGTGTTTCAGGGCGAGGGAGACGTGGAGAAGTGTCGTTGCCATATTGGCTGGTGCGCTAGGCCTCTGTCCTGTGTTGTAGCCTCACCATGGAGCAGCTGAGCTTGGCCAACACCCGGTTCGCAGTGGACCTCTTCCGCACCCTGAAGGACAGCAACCCCTCTGGGAACATCTTCATCTCCCCCGTGAGCATTTCCTCAGCGCTGGCCATGGTCTTCCTGGGGGCCAGAGGCACTACCGAGGCACAGATGTCCAAGGTCAGCAGAAACTAACAAAAGGAGTGTGGGTTCCCTGCAAGTCCCTCCTAAAAAGGTGTGCCTCTGAGCTCTTACAGGGTGTTTTAAACACTGTGCTTGTGTGTTCCACAACTACACACGATGAGGCCAGACTTTCAGAAAAGCCCCAAGAGCAGTTCATTTATATGCAGGCTTTCAGTCAGGATTGAGTTTTTACTGAGCACGTACTATGCGCCAGGCACTGGTTTTTGTTTGGCTGAGGATACAGCGGTGAAGAAAGCTATGAGAGCCCGGGTGGTGTGCTGCTTCTCTTGCAGTGGGCAAATCTTTGAAGGCATCTCCTCTCACTTCAGATTTTTCACTTTCTGCTTTGCATGCAACTCGCTACTCATTAACAGATGCCTGCTATGTAATGTTACCTTTCAACACAAAATAACAGGGAATTCACCACACTGGAGAAGTTGGCAGTGTTGCCTTTCTGAGGGAACAGGAGATCTGCGGTTATACTGTTGAGACTTAGTCATGTGCCTGGCACAAGTTCCTGTGTGGGTAGGGGAGGCTGAAGGAGAGGAAAAAAGTGAGGTGTGGTGGCTGCAGGGACAGGGCCAAGCCCTGGGTGGTATGGCAGGTCCCTGTTACAGGGAGAAGAAGCAGTAATGCCTGGCCTTCCACCTGGCCTTCATGGGTGCGGGGCCCACCACTGTGCTGTGTGGTCTTTGTTGAATTCTGAGAGGGGAACTCCCGCTCTCCTTGAATTAGGGGAAAGATTACAAGGTGCCAGTTACTGGGGAAGGTCCAGCTTTGGATTCAAGTTTATCCATCTGTTCCAGCTGCAAATCTTTTATTTCCACACTAGAGCCCGGTGCACAAAACTCATGCACTGGGGGTTTGGGGGTGGGGTTTGTCCCTCAGCCCAGCCTGCATCCTCTCCAATCAGGGACCTTTCAGGGAATGTCCAAATTCTGGGTTAGGCCCAATCCCACAGGGACAATCCCTCTCACACTCGGGGACTGCTGCCTCCCAACTGCTAGCCTTACTTCCTCCCTGATTTCCTCTAACCCAGCCTTGGGCAAACTACAGCCCGCGGGCGGGATCCGGCCCGTTCGGCTGTTCTATCCGGCTGGTGGAGCCGAAAGAGCGGAGGGTTCTCTTGTTCTCCCCTCCACTCCTTCACCAGCAACAGTGTTAACATGGCAACGTTGGGAAACATGGCTACAGCTCCTTCTTCTGAGTCCAGTTTAAGAACCCATTGTGGCCCTCCAGTCAAAAAGTTTGTCCACCCCTGCTCTAACCGCTTCTGCCTGCCAGACTGATCGATGCCTAACTGCTCCCCAGCCAGCCTGATTTCCCCCAACTCCCCTCTCCTGCAGGATGAATTGCCCCCAACTGCACTCCTGTGCAGGCCTGTTAGCCCCCACCCCCTAACTGCCCTCCCCTGCCAACCTGGTCAACCCTAAATGACCTCCCCTGTAGGCCTGGTTGCTCCTAACTTTCTTGCCATGCCAGCCTGGTCCCCCCAAACTGCACTCCCCCGTATGCCAGGTCTCCCCCAACTGCCCTGCTGGTGAGTTTGCTCCCAACTGCCCTCCCTTGCCTGCCATCTTGTGGTGGCCATCTTGTGACAACATGGGCATAGCAATCTTGTGACCACTTGGAGGTGGTCTTGTGACCACATGGGTGTGGCCCTCTTGTGAGCACCTGGGGGCGTCCATCTTGTGCAAGGGCATGATGGTCAATTTGCATATTTTCTCTTTATTACATAGAATTTTATGAAAATCCAATGGTCTTTACAGCTGCAAACATGAAAGCATTTTTATGTTTCAAACACCCACTTTTAATTTTATCTCCTGGTAATAATAGTTAGTTGCTTTCTGCAGGGTAAAATCAGCTTCTATTTTGAGGTTTATCAGGAGACTGTATTACCTCAGCAAAAAGTCATTTTAAGGGTTCCCTGCTTTTCTATTAAAGCAGACCTATCATAGCAACTGTGCAAACATTCCCTATCTTGGTGTGTAACTGGTCTTTCTACATTGTGTAGGTTTATTCTTTGTGTGTTGAAATAAAGATTCAGCCCAGGACTTATAAGACCATAACGGGATTCTTGATATGAAACATGAAAATTAAACTTTTGCTGAATGTTAAGTTCACAGATGTTATTTTTAAGTTCCTGATGCTGACAATGTAGTTTAAAAACCCCCTCAATTCTGTAATAACTTTGTGCTCCCATGTAGGGGATGATTCTTAATTTTACTGTTAATTGCTGAGAACTTTCAGTAAAACTCTATTTATGCAGAATTTATATATGAATATACCAGTTATGATTTTCTTTGGAGTAAAAGCAGACATAGATAAATATTAAGCCTATTAACCACTTACATTCATGGGACTATAATTATAAAAAGTGATATAAAAAGAGCTTCTGATGTAATTATGTCTCACAAACTGATACATTTTAGATTCTTTATTCTTTTGTTCTCCAATGAAAGTTTAATAAAGTATTGGGCTGGAAATTATTGATAATTAGTAATAAAAGCATTAATTTAATCTGATAGAAGCAAATGTCAAGGAATCCGTTTCAAAATAAATGGCTGTAGAAAGAATGCTTTCTCTATTTTAGACTCTTCACTTCGATGCAGTTAAGGAGATTCATTCAAGTTTTCAGAGTCTGAATGCTGATATCAACAAGCGCGGAGCTCCCTATATTCTGAAACTTGCTAATAGGTTGTATGGAGAGAAAACCAATGAGTTCCTCCCGGTGAGTGCTTTACATTCACATGCTAAAACTGACGAAATAGTGCAGACATTTTCCAGCACAATCAAGTCACAGAAGTCAGTTTTTATTTTTATAAACATTCAGAAAAAAGATACAGAATTTAAACATATGGCAGTATCTCCATTAATGTTTTGATTTCATTTGATAGTCTTCACAGGAAAAGATTGACCCTGGCTGTGTTACCAACTCAAGAGTGAATTCCATAATTCACTTCCAAGAACAATCAGTGTATACTTATTTATGAAAATGTTAGCCAAAGGTCAGAAAAGAATTGGTAAATTCCTTTTCTGTACACCAAAACTACTGAACTGTACACTTAAAATGATTAAGGTGGTAAATTTAGTGTTATGTGTTTTTTACCATAATGCAAAAAGTGTAAGGGTTAGAATTTTTTTGTTACAATGAAATTTATGTCTTTTAGGATAATTTCTACTGCTTTTAAGGATTTTAGAAAATCATTTCTGTATTTAGTAGGAATTATTCATGGAGTTTGTTTTTGTTTTTTACCTTTTTTTAAAAATTTTAAACAGGAGTTCTTAGCTTCAACCCAGAAAATGTATGGTGCTGAACTGGCCAGTGTAGATTTTCAGCGAGCCTCTGAAGATGCAAGAAAGGTGATAAACGAGTGGGTCAAAGGGCAGACTGAAGGTAAGAGAGTGGGCCGAATGTAGGCATTCATTACACACTGGCCATTCTTTTCCTCCTTCCACTTTCCCAGCCTGCAGATGATTCCCTGCCCTTTTCCTCTGCCCTCACCCTCTTGCTGGGGCTGAACTCTGCAACTGCCCAGTGCCCAACAGCTTTTAAATGTGGGAATTCCTCAAAGTGGGAACTTCAACATGCTTTCACTGAAGTAGCTAAATATTTTCCCCATAAATTCAAAATCACATTTTAAAATTAAAACTAACATTGAATGTAGGATAAAAAGGATAAAGTTTTAAGGAAAATCCATCCTGGCCCAGATTATGGAAGAGTCCTATATAATAAAAGTATAATATGCTAAGTGTCGGGTCAGCTGGTCAGTTGTCTGTTCAACTAATCAGAGGGCAATATACTAATGATATGCTAAGGCACCTCAATCGCTTGCTAGGATGTGCACTGTTCACCAGGGTATAGACTCTCTGACCAGTAGGTTAGCTTGCTGCTGGGGTCTGGCCAATCGGGACTGAGCGAGATAGGCCAGACATATCCTGGCACCCTGTCACAGTCCCTTCCTGGCTGGCCAACCTCCCTCATCACTCCGGGCTGCGATCATACACCAGTGGGGTCCCTTGCCCTGGCCTACACCCTCTCACAATCTGGGACCACTCAGGGAATGTCGGAGAGCCATTTTTTCTTGAGCCTGCTCAACCCAGGAGCTTCCCCTTGGTGGTCAGTGCACTCCAACAGGGGGAACGCCACTCAGCCAGAAGCCGGGCTCACAGCTGGCAAGCGCAGAAGTGGTAGCGGGATCCTCACCCGCCTCCCAGCAGTGCTAGGGATGTCAGACTGACCGCTTAGGCCGGCTCCCCACTGAAAGTCGGTGGTCCCTATGCCACCAGTCAGGAGCCCCTGAGGGCTCCCAGACTGTGAGAGGGTGCAGGCTGGGCTGAGGTACCCCCCCACCGAGTGCACAAATTTCATGCACTGGACCTCTAGTCTATAATAATAAAAGCATAATATGCTAATTAGACTGGACGCCCTTCTAGACGACCATCAGGATGAAGCCGCGGTGTCGGAGGCTGAACCCCTGGCACAAATTTCATGCAAATTTCACACAAACTGCTGTGGCCATAAGTATTTTGGGAAATGCTTTGTCTAAGCTGTCAGGGGTGCCTCCATCTTAGGTGTTTCTCCACCCCACTGTTTCTAACCTTGTCGAGGTCTGAATCAAGGCACCTACCCAACACCTGTCTCCCTTCCAAGGCATTCTTCATGGCCATGCTGTAATCACAAGGGAACTGGTGTTTCAGAAAACTAACTGTCCTAGCCTTAAGATATCTGTTAAAATATTTTCTATGAGAGCAGCTTCCACTTGGAGGCTTTGAAGAAGTGACTTATTTAACAACTAGAGGCCCGGTGTACATAATTAGTGCATGGGGTTAGGGTCCCTCAGCATGGCCAGCAGCGTCTTCAATCCAGGACCCCTCAAGGGATATCCGACTGCTGTTTTAGGCCAGATCCCTGCAGCATTCCGACATCCTTCCTGCAATCTGGGACTACTGGCTCCTAGCTGCTCACCTGCCCGCTAGCCTGATTGCATTATCTGCTCTTCCCTGCTGCCTCATCCCCCTAACTGCACTCCCCTGCTGGCCTGATCCCCCTAAATGCTCTCCCCTGCTGGCCTGAACCCACTAACTGATCACCCCTGCCAGCCTGATCCCACTAGCTGCTCTCCCCTACTTTCCTGATCACCTAACTGCTCTCCTCTGCTTGCCTGATAGCCACTAACTGCCTCTGCCTCAGCCCCGCCACAATGGTTTTGTCCTGAAGAACATATGCAAGGTAATCTGGAAGATGTTTGGTCTAATTAGCATATTACCCTTTTATTAGTATAGGTCGTTTTCATGAAAAAATATTATTTATGCCTGCCAAAGAATGGCCATTCACAAAAGAAGGCTCATTGTTTCTCATACAATGCAGAAAAGATTGTCCTGTTTTTAGCTTTTAAACCCTTTAGTTGGTTTATTTACGGTCAAAACATACTGGTAGGGCTTCCCTAACAACACATTAATGGGAATTAAATAAAAAGTATTAATTTGAATTTCATTTCAATGCAGTTCAAGAATGGGATGCTGATATGTAAATTTTTTTTTAAAAAAAAAACTTTCTTTCTTTAGGGAAAATTCCAGAATTGTTGGCTGCAGGCGACGTTAATAATATGACTAAACTTGTGCTAGTTAATGCCATCTATTTCAAAGGAAACTGGCAGGAGAAATTCAGTAAAGAGGCCACAAATGATACTCCTTTCAGATTGAATAAGGTGAGGTGATGTAATTATAAAATTGCTCTTTGCTCTAAGAGAATGCAGATAATACTGTGAGTGACTTGGTTTTTTCAACTATTCAGAAAGACACAAAAACAGTGAAAATGATGTATCAGAAGAGCAAATTTCCATTTGGCTACATCGAGGACCTTAAGTGCCGGGTGCTGGAGCTGCCTTACCAAGGCAGGGACCTCAGCATGGTCATCCTGCTGCCAGATGACATCGAGGACGAGGCCACAGGTCTGAAGAAGGTAATGGCTCTCACGCTCATGCTTCATGTTTCTTTCTGATAGATGGGTTCTGTCTGTGTGTATGTTGTGTGGTAGTAGGTCATCAATGTTTGCTACTCTGAAGCCCTAAGATTAACTTTTCAGGGACTGTCAGTGAACAGTTGTGGTGGGGACTTCTAAGAATCTATATTAAATGTAACATGTCAGTGGCAGCTCACAGGAATTTTCTTAAATAAACTTTAGAGGAAAGTGCAGTAAAATTAGAATTATTTTATTGAAACAAATTTATTAAAATTAAAATTCCCAAAACATTTATACTAGGTAGCTTCAACTTGTACAATGAAATTTCATTATGACACTGCTCATTCTCATCACAATTCATATAGATTGTGAATTATATTTCTAACAGCTATGTGGTAGAAAAGACCCATATGACACACTAGCTTGAAAGTTAAGCCTACTTTCTCATATGAACTTTGTACGATGTTTCTATTTTATTTCAGTAAAAGGCGAAGACATTTCTTGTCAGCCTAGGACTAGGCAAAACTCTGAAGAATATGGTTTTCTTTAGTGTCTCTAGCCTGTTGTGTGGTTTTTCTCTACCTTCTCTCTAACCAAACTTGTTATCAGGAAGAGGTCTGATATTAATTATTGACATGTGTAAAATCAGTATGTTCCTCCTTTTAATTATATTTTCATATTTTTCTCTTCTCTGATTATAAAGAGAAATTCTCCAGTCTCATAAAAGAGGTAATCAGCATCAGCAGAACAAGTGGAATGATGGGCCCATTCTAGTCCAATAGTAGTAGTAATATGTCAATGATAATAGCTGACATTCTTGTGGCTCTTACTAGTACTGTGTGCCAAATGCTTTGCATACATTAAGTCATTTAATGCTCACAACAAGGCTATAAGGTAGGTACTATCATTAACCCTCTCCCAATTTTAGATGAGGAACTAGTCCCTTTTCTTTTTTTACCCAGAAGCTAAATCTATTAGAGATTACTTCAGCACAGTGAGTTCACAGATAACCACAGTGATCAGTAGGGTTCAGAATAGAAGAAATAGAGGAAAAATTTTGAGTTTTACCTTGTATCAATCAACCAGTTAAAGCAATAAAAGCCATCATGGCCTGTAACCATAATCCAGTGTGGTAGGGGTTTAGGAAAGCCTGGGTGGATGGATGGGTAGTTGAAACCTCTGATGTCCAAAGTCCCTGTTACTTGAGCCCTTGATGGCTTGGACCACAGCTCTGTTCTATTATCACCAATTGCTGAAAAGAAATGAAATCCTCCAAATGGAATCTATTTTGGCACAAAACATGAAAGAAACTGATTAGGAACTGATAACATGAATCCATTCATGTAAATAATGTGTATTGCCTTGCTTATGTGGAATAGTTCTCACCTCTTCTATTGCTCTTTCTCATTTCAGATCGAAGAACAATTGACCCTGGAAAAACTGCATGAGTGGACCAAACCTGAGAATCTGAGATCCTTTGAAGTCAACGTCCACCTGCCCAAGTTCAAGCTGGAAGAGAGCTACAACCTCAACTCTCACCTGAAAAGCCTGGGTATAGAGGATCTCTTTAGTAGCAAGGCTGATCTTTCTGGCATGTCAAGAGCCAGAGATCTTTTTATATCAGAAATTATCCACAAGTCATTTGTAGAAGTTAATGAGGAGGGCACAGAGGCAGCGGCTGCCACAGCCGTAATAGGATTTGGTTGCGCGCTTATGCCAGAGGAAAATTTTGTGGCCGACCATCCATTCATTTTTTTTATTCGACACAATCCCTCAACTAACATCCTGTTCTTAGGCAGACTTTCTTCCCCTTAGAGACTGTGGAAATCCAAGGTCGAGCTCAGAGCTGTATCACTGGCCCTTTCAAAGATATATGAAAATTATATATCTTCTACAATAAAGCTACCACCCCAAAAGAAATCTGTAACTTCCTTTGTAATGTCAGCTCTGTTGGCTGCTTACACCCATTAACTTTGGTATAGGTATCTATTTTCCTTTCTTTATATTGAAAAATGTAGTGATTGCTTTTGAATGCACCAAGCAGATATGTAGACTCTTGACAGTGTAGTAAACTAAGAAACTGCTGTACTCTCTTGATAGCCATGAGAAAAATTACAGTACTGTAATTTTTTTCACAGATAGACTTCTGGAAGGAATCATAGAGAGACTGTCATTGCTGAAGGGAGGCTTAAAAACAGACATTCAATTGAAATATAGGAGAGCAGCCCAATTAAGGGTTGGATTATGAAGATAAATTTGCCTTGGCCAGTGTTTCTGATCCTTTGTTCTACAGGATTTGAGTTCTGTTATAGCCCCTCTGATTTCAAATGATTAAAGAGCTTCTTTTCCTTTATCCACTTGGTTTGTAGTTTGCGTGGGATCAGAAGGAGTGAAGAAGTAAGCGTCTTATCTTAAAAGATGCCAGGAAACTACAACAGAGAAGTGAAGTAGGGGAGACTGTTAACCTAGAGGGGGTGCAAGGATCACACTGTTACCAGCTTCTTGTGTGTTTTCTGATAAGGGCTCTTGATTTCCATCATCTAGTCCAGACTGCGATAGCAATGGGATGGCTTTATGCAGTGCTGGGGGGCGGGGAGAGGCTCTGTGATCATTATAAACCTTAGTCACATGCACTGCTTGGAATGGGGCTTGAAATGCTGCATATTCTTGCTCCTACAAAGCTGGTGGGCTGGCTAATGACATTTCCTAAGATTCTACTAGCCAGACTGATTTCAGTCCTCTTCTTGTTTCTATCTGATCTCAGAAAAGACAGACGAATGGGGCTCTTGGACTGACAATACTGACATCTATGATGATAGTCAGTGGATCCATGAAAGAAAAAGATTTTAGCAAATCTGTTAGCAAGCTTTCCTTCCTTTTTTCCTTTGAAATGCTTACTGGCACCTTCAATATTGAAGGTTCTGTTACGTGTAGGAAAAACAAGAAAAGCAAGTCACTGCATTCTGTAATTCTTCCCTTTGGGATCTTATGCTAAAATCTACTCAGTGATTTAGAGTAAATTGTGCTAATCAGGTAGAAACTGAACTGCAGGGCCCCATGCAACTCTGCTCAAATCCTTTTTATATATGAGGGATCAGGCTCATGGACTACAAATAAATTATTGAAGGTTAAAACAAGTAGTAAATTTCAGAGCAGAAAGTAGAATTCAATAAATATTTTATGTGGAGAACATCTAATTCTTTACTGCAATGTGAACTAGGTAACTCAGGCCTTTTAACACAACCAAAAAAACAAACCAAGCAAGCCTGAGCCCAAAGGCAAGGGAGCTGCCATGACTATGAAGTCTCAGCAATCCTGGGTAAATTGGTGACTTTGACAACTGGGGCCACTTTTACCCTAGGGGCATTTCCTAATCCAATTTATGTAAAAGGGCATGAAGTATTGATTTTGATGATGTTCAAGGCCAGGCACCCAGAATTTTGGGCTGTCAAGTATGGGGGCCCCATTGTGACCCTGTGCTTTCACATGGCAACATTAGAACTACACTCTAGGAGTATGACTGCAGCAGCTCAGAAAGTAGCCCTGATGTCAGTCCTTGGACAGTCCCCCCAATTCCAATCCCTGGGATTGGATTACATCTATTCCGGTTTGCTACTATCCAGAGGCATATGGAAGATGCAAACAAAAATCATTCGTAGGGGAAGATTACCCATAAACCTCAAATCTTACATAATAAAAGTCAAATATGCAAATTGTCCCCTCTAGAGGTAGTCCCCTCAACAGGGAGACCAGGGCACTTGCCTGGGTTGTGGGCTCGATTCCCAGTAGGGGGTCTGCAAGAGGCAGCTGATCAATGATTCTCTCATCATTTCTACTTCTCTCTCTCCCTTCAATTTTGAAATCAATAAAGATATATACTTAAAAAATAAATATGAAATGACTAAATATTTCAGTTAAAAGACAAAAATGGTTAGGCTAGATTGAAAAAATATTGTATGGTGTCTACAGAAAATATATCTATAACATAAAAAAATAGAATTAGGAAAAAAGAATGGAAAGCTATATGATGCAAATACTAACCATAAAAGTAGGTGTAGCTGTGATTATTAGGTAAAGTAGGTTTTCCTGTTCTAGTGATAAAGACCGACACTTCATATGGTAAAAAGATTCAGATCCCTAGGAAAATATAACAATTCTAAATTTGTATGTACTCAATAATAAGTCCTCAAAAGTATAGATAAAAATGAAAAAAAATAAAGGAGAAATTAGTTAGCAATTAAAAAACAGGTTTTCTTTGTTTTGTTTTTTATTTGGTGAAACATGGCAAGTGATTCTAATCTATCTATATAATAGAGGAATATGTAAAATAGCTGGGATGCTATAACGTCATGACCAAACAGCATGGACATCAGGTCGCACCCCCTGCCCCACGGTGCTTGACGGGGGACCTCGGGCTGTGGCCCCCACCCTCACCCCTTGTCAGGCCTGGGGAAATCAGGCCATGCCCCCCGCTTGACAGGGGATCTTAGGCTGTGCCCCTCACCCCAGCACCAGGCCTGGGCACCTGAGGCTGTTCTCCCCACCTGGTGGGCTTGACTGGGGACCTGAGACTGTACCCCCACCTGGTGCCAGGATGGGGGACCTGAGGTTTTGCTCTCTGCCAGGAGTAGCTTGACGGGGTGTGGGGCAGGCTGAGTCTGGGTCTTATCCAATGGGGTGGGGCCGGCCGGGTCTGGGTCTCTTGTGTTTTTGATGCACTTGCGGGTGGTGTGTGGGAACTTGACTCTACGTCCCGCAGCTTGCCCCAGACTCTGACAGGAGGAAGATTTTCATATACATTTTACTAATTTTCTTTCATCTCTGACACTTCTATTATAGAGAAAGGGAAAATATCAATATTAAAATATTTCCTCTAATTAATTCCCTTTTAATGTGCACAAATTTTCTGCACGGGGCCACTAGTACTTATATAACAAGGTAAAAGGCCAAGAATATCCAAGACAATATTGAAGAATCAGATGAAAGGACATACTTAATAGAATAACAACTTATTCTAAAGCTGTGGAAATAAGATAAAGATGCTTAGAAATGGAACAAAACAGAGAGGCCAGCAATATGAACCCTGCTTTATGATAAGCATCATCCCAGTTTGCTCACAAAAGCCTGTTTAAGTCTCTTGTTCTATAGCAATAATTAGCAATGCCCTCTTTTACTCTCAAAATGTAATCAATTTGAATAATAAATCCTATGGCCATCATATTTCTGACAAATGTGGTACTTCAAAGTTGGAAGTGAAGGGAGGAAATTTTCAATAAATTGTTCTGGAACCTTTGGGAACCATATGGAAAAATGTTAAAGTTGATTTCTGCATTAAACCAATCAGATGGACAGTAGACTTAATTGTGAAAGCAAAACAGTAAGCTTTTAGAAGAAAATATAAAAATACTAGTGACCAGGTGCATGAAATTCATGCACATTAAAATGGAATTAGAGGAAATATTTTAATGTTGCTATTTGCCCTTTCTCCCTTAACAAAAGTGTCAGAGATGAAAGAAAATTAGTAAAATGTATATGAAAACCTTCCTCCTGTCAGAGTCTGGAACGCACAATGGGAACCAGAGTCAAGTTTCTGCCCACCCACATGTGCCTCAGAATCACACAAGACCCAGACCCAGCTGGCCCCACTTACATTGGGTTAGATAAAGACCTTGCTGTCCCCACCCCTGTCAAGCCTAGCCTGGTGGGGGCTGCATCTTCAGGTCGCTTGGCCTGGAGTAAGGCCGAAGGGTGCACCTTGAAGTCCCCTGGCCTGGGCCAGGGTGCACAGCTTCAGTTCCCCCCTCAAGCCCCGACACGAGGAGGGCACAGTCTCAGTGACCTGGCCCAGGGTGGGGTGTATAGCCTGAGGAACCCCAGCCTGGGCTGGGGCAGGTGGCACAACATGAGGTCCCTATCAAGCTCCACCTGGTGCAAGGCATGAACAGAGGTCCTCTGTCAAGCCCCACATGGCGGGGGCGTGGCCTCAGGTCCCGGGCCTGGCCCTGGGACAGGGATTGCAGCCTCAGGACCTCCAGCCATGTGCCAGGGTGGGAGTTACTGCCTGAGGTCCCCTGGCCTGGCACTGTGGGGGGGTGGGCACAGCCTGAGTTCCTCTGTCAAGCCCCGCTGGGCAGGGGGTGAAAGCACAGGTCCCCTGGCCCGGCCCAGTGACAAGTAGCCTCAGGTCCATGATGATTGCTCATCGAGGCTTGTTACAGGAACTTGGCCTCCGCTCTGGGCGCAGTCAACTTGTGTTACAGAATCCCTGCATCTGCTGTGGGCACAGACATCTTGACCATTATGGTGTGACAGTCAATTTGCATATACCTGCTTTATTAGATAAGATATCTTCATGTACTTGTGGAGAGAATGATTTCTTAGCAGGACACACACACACACACACATTTATTGTTATATTTGTTCCTAAACATTTAACATTTTTTATATAAATTGAACCAAAAAAATCCTAAGAACTTCAGTTCTGCAGAACAGATCGTGAAGAGAAAGGAAAGGCAAGCTTCAGAACAGTTGAGGTAGACCAGCCCCCAAGGAAGGGTGAAACCTGATACAATGTCCCCAAAGGCAGGACTGCCATTCTAGAGCATTTCCCACTGTGTTATTTCCCAGGTGTGAACCCTGAGACAAAAGATACCTACAAAAAGGGCTCAAAGTAAAAAACAACAACCAAAGGAGCAAACAAGCAAGGAGCAGAGCAGAGCTGTCTACCTACGGGGAGAGGGCTGCCTGGCCCTTGCAGCTGTGCTCCCTTCACAGCAGCTGTGTCACCATAAAGCTTCCTTCTTCACTGCACCCAAATCAGAGATTCCTGCTGACATTGAATTGACACCAATGCCCGTCAGTTGACACAGGCTACCACTAAAAATTACATATGGAAGGCAGCCAGATTTTGTGAAGTCACAGTTTGGGAGAAATGGTTTTCAAATATTTTCAGAATTTTTATATACCAGAATCACAGCCTCAGGTTACCTACTAAGTGTACCAGTTAATAATGCAGATTTTTTTCAATAGATGGAGTTACACATATGTTGATATATATGCAATTTGATATGTAGGCTCTTTTATGATATTGGCAGCAAGCTTCAAAACTTCATATGTCAAATTTGCTGAAGGTGTTAACATCATAGATATTTTTAAGGTTAAAAATATCCAATTTCGTGCCAACAAAAAGAGCATTTGTGGAATGTTTTAATACATTACTTTATTTTGAAGAAAAAGTTATCATGCACTTTGGGAAGCTTATGGTGAAATGTTCCATCTCAAGATACTTGTGAATGCTGGTTTAAATGCTTTAAAAGTGATGATTTCAATGTGAAAGACAAAGAACATCCAGGT